TACTGACCCCGGGCCCTCGGGCAGTGCCCGATTTTCCAAATGGTCAGTCCGCCCCTGATCAATACATCACTGGATATTGTAGAATCACCCGTTGCCCAACGATTGGGGGACTCGAGCAATTAGCAAGGGGGAAATACAGGAAATCACCGCAAGGCACGTCTGCCACATCTTCAATGAGTCCCGAATTCCCCTAGAATCCCCTGTCTTTTATATACATAATTTGCAGTGTCCTTGTTTACTGCCATGCGCAGTAGACTCTGTTTGTGTAACTATTGTGACTATGAACCTTGACTTGTTCCGACTACACATCTATAAGTCCTTGACTGATTGCGACCAGGGGCGGACTGACCATTTGGAAACTCGGCACTGCCCGAGGGCCCAGGGTCAGTAGGGGACCCATAAGATCCCCCTGGTACCTGTTTCATAGGCTTTTTTGAGTTTGGCCAAGGACACAGGGGCCCCATGATCCCCTATTGCCCGGGGGCCCCATGAGTTGTCAGTCCGCCCCTGATTGCGACTGCACATTTGGTAACTATAAATCATAGATCTAACCTTGATAGATTTTAACAATGTCCTTGTCTTAATATTCTAAACTCTAGTTACTTCTCCACTGATGTATAATACTAAAGTTATGGCAATTGAGTGTCAATCATCCTTCACACATACATTCTATACACCCATGTCACATATGTATCACAACCTTGCAAATAGTTTTTTTTTTTTTTTTAACTCTTTTAATAAAACCCATTTTGTTACATACCATGTTTCTATTTTTACCTACTTTTGTGCTGCATTTTGATTGTAGCTTACCGTTTAATGCAGTTTTGTGGTAAATGTTTTGTGTCTCTATGAAAAACCTGAAAACATTTATTAAAATTATGCCAGTTGACCTTGCCAAGAAGGTCTCTGTTTAGTCACTTCCTATTATAAGGTGACACCCCTCTGTCCCTGTCTCCCAATTGTGCTTCTGTGTTGTCACACTAGCTTCCTATGGTGAGTACAAGTAAATGTTTCAACACACAATATGGAGACATGGTCCACTGTGGTCACCATTGGAATATCCACTGTGAGAAATCCTATGCAGCCATCATTGTAGTATGCATGTAGACAGCGACGGACTGACAACTCATGGGGCCCCCGGGCAATAAGGGATCATGAGGCCCCTGTGTCTTTTCCCAAACTCAAAAAAGCCTATGAAAAAGGTACCAGGGGCATCTCATGGGGCCCCCTACTGACCCCGGGCCCTCGGGCAGTGCCAAATGGTCAGTCCACCCCTGCATGTAGACAATGTAGAAAGGAAGTGGCTGTAAGAGAATAGTAAACCCAGTAATTAAAAAAAAAGGGATTAAAAAAAGGCATAACAAGAATTTTAGCAAATTGAACAGTGCTATATAAGTAACTGAAATAAATAAATAAATATTAGGAACCAAAATGGTAGTTCTTTATGAAACTCGTTTATTTAACAAACGCATTGTCATGTAGTTGGGATTTACAAATTATATTTAAAATTTAATAATATACACATATACATACTGAGTAAATAAATGTATTACAAGAAATATTTTGAATATAATGAAAACAGAAAAAAAAAAATAAGAACTGCACAAGCAGACCTACAGCTTTTTTTTCCCCCAAATTAAATATTTCTAATTTGTGTTTCTTTTTTCTCAGAAGTCTTTTTCCCAAGACAATATTCTTTTATATCAATAATAATTATATTAATATCTTATCTACTTCAGACTGAAACCTATTCTACAGTGCGAACCCTTAACACACATGCTCTGATAAATTTTATGTTTAGTGGACAGAAAAAAAAGCAGTCAGGCTAGGGAGCACTGAAAAGAAAAAAAAAAGTGTTTGTTATGCGAGACAGGAATTTTAGTGCCCACGTCTGCAAAAGTAATGCTAAGTACAAGCCAGGGCCTATGGTCAGCAAATCATTGGCCTGGATGATATTTAGCTCTGTAGGTTCTGTTTACCAGTATAAATATAGTATATATTGGAACGCATTACACGTTTCATCATGTCTTACCTGAACAAAACCAACACACAAATATTAACACCTTCGCAGATTTGTAGTGTAAATCAAAATGCTGTCTCTGAACATCTAGAAATAATATATTTGAAACTCTGTTCTGCTAATAACACTGTTCAACAAATTTTTATTTTTTGCCAGTTTTGGAAACAAAAGGATCCATTTCTTAATGAATTTCACATTCTGAGTTCAAATATAACAATGAAATTTGTCAATTGGATCTAGTTTTTCTGTAAACGGAAAGTTTTCTACTATAGGCGTCATGACTACATAATGCACAATAATTATATAGATAGATGTCTTTCCACAAATATAAAGCAAGTGATATTGACTACATAACAAAGCCTTAAATGGCATAATATATTGCATAGGATTACCAAGAAAAATTATAGCCATAAGCTAAGTTGAATCATTTTAATACTTAGGATTCTCACTAGTTTTGTCTTCAGTTTGTGTCGGTTTTGCTTCTCTTGGCTTTTCTCTTGTATTCGAGGAAAGGGCTATCTCTTACAACTGCACGTGACTACACGCTTCAGGTTCTTCCTCACTTGACTCAACCACGAAGGATTCTGGTGCTTTAGGAATTGGTAGCCCCTCTCCATGAGGAACTGGACGTATTGCCGATGGAATATTTGGATAGTGCACAGATAACTTTTTCTTCTTATTTAGCCCTTTTACAATTGGAGGCACCATACAAAAGTAACAATTACTAACATGATCTGTTGGCTCTCTCCAAATCATTGGCACAGCGAAAGGCATAGATGCCTTTTTTCCATTCAACCATTGCTCCAGTGCCGTCTCACAAGAATTGCAGCATATATGTGGTGCTCAGCTCTTGTCCTGGTCTCCTATCTTGCAGCCAAAATACAAGTTGTAGGCTTTCTTAATCATTCCTGTTATCCTCCTTTTTTGTGAGATAAAAGTTATTTCACCGCAGATATAGCAGAAATTATCTGCTTTATTCACACAAGTTTGAGGCATTACTGAGTAGCCTATATAAGCAGAAAACGAAATGTAAAGACGCTGTCGAACTACAATCAGCTACAGATACTGCAGCTTTTTTATGCAGTGAAGTGATGCAATTAAAGGCTAATATTGCATCATCTCAGTATACATGCAATTTTCTATTGGTCACCAGTATCAATTGCGCAATATGCAGCTGAAGTTGCATCATAATTTTGAATGGCTTACGTCATTAGATGGGTGAATATATCATGGAAACTAGAGCCAATCAACATTTTTTAGGGTCATTTTCGTTTTCAGCACCCCAACATTATGTAAGATTAGCTAATTTTATGCCCAAAACTTTTTACCTGTTGAACAGTGTAATTGATGCAAAAATTAGAAGGCATACGTCAGTGCAAATGCATGACACCATTCGGACAGTATATAAAGAGCCTCCCTGCTCTTAATTTTTTTTTATGCCTTTAGCTCCACTTTACGCAGGAAAAAAAGATTAATTGAAAATAATTAAAAACACAGATTTTACAAGTTCCAGTTTTAGTAAATCCACCCCCAAGATTGCATGGGGCCCAGTTGCTGTGCTGGTGGTGTTCAGTTGACTTGTGTATGAATTTCTGTACCCAGTACCTGCATTAAAAATATGTCTGTAATATTGTAGCTTGCTTCTGCACCATGAGAACATCACAACTGTATAGGGATGTGCTAAAAAGGATAATAATTCATAAAATAATCATTCATAATAAGTTCTACAATAGATACGTTTACATTGCAGCCCACCTTCCCTGTCCTTATGGCTCACATATACCAGGTGGAGCAGTCTGTACAATGACAAGATCAATAAAATCAGATTTAAAGTGATATTACCCCAAAAGCAAATATTTCTTATATTGCAGCTCACCAATTCTTAAATTTGATGGCTACATTAGTTTTCTTTTTTGGCTTTCTTTTCTCTATTTTCACCTGGTGACCCCACAATTAGGTCATTTGTTTTTCAAAAGAACAAGCTATCCTGCAGATTTATCAGTTAAGAGTGTTGAGACAAACCATTTACCAAAAAACAGGGGTGTTTACAACAATTGGCTTTTACTTATGTAAAAACTTTATTATAAAAGGAAAAAAAAACTGTTGATGTAACTGCAGTGTGAGCTGGAGTTTGGCTTCAATTTGTTAGTGTATCTAAATCTGCTAGTACATCTAACAATCCCTCCTCCCAGACTGGCAATGCTGCTGTCCAAAGCTTCCCCCTGTGCTCATTCATCCAGAGTGTAGGCATGGAGTGTAAGAGAATAGCACACCTAGTAATGAAAAAAAATGGATTAAAAAAAAAGGCAGGAAGTGTGTTACTGGCCAGATCACCAAATGAAAACAGAGGGAGAAAAAAACCTAAAAAAAATAAAACTAATATAGCCACTACATCTAATGATTGATAAGCTGCAATAAATTATATTTTTTTGTGTTTTGGGTTTAATACCACTTTAAAGTGTTACTAAACTCAGAACCCTGCATCCACTATATCTGGTCTCCCACAGTACACACAACATGGAAATGCGTTTATTTCAAAAAATATAAAATGCTAAATACTTTTCTCATCAGAAGGTAGAGCAGTCTTGTGGCTTCTATCTGTGTCCAGCCCAGCACTAGCTAAAGCTTGTAGAATGAATTTTCTTTCTGCTCTAGGAGAATGGAAATCCCCTGTCCTCTGTCTGGACAGTGCTGATTGGCCCTGTGCTGATCACATGCACTCTCCCAAGTAAAAAAAAAAACCTCTTTAGCAATATACATCAAACTGAGCATGAGCATGTCTACGGTTCCATGCATCCACTATATCTGGTCACCCACAGTACACAGATCATGGAAATGCATTTATTTCAAAAAAATATAAAATGCTAAATACTTTTCTCATCAGAAGGTAGAGCAGTCTTGTGGCTTCTATCTGTGTCCAGCCCAGCACTAGCTAAAGCTTGTAGAAGGAGTTTTCTTTCTGCTCTAGGAGGATGGAAATCCCCTGTCCTCTGTCTGGACAGTGCTGATTGGCCCTGTGCTGATCACATGCACTCTCCCAAGTAAAAAATAAAAAACCTCTCTAGCAATATACACCAAACTGAGCATGAGCATGTCTACGGTTCAGTCTGGGGATAAGTGGTGGTCACTTGAAAAAGGGGAGGAACAGAGAGGAAGGGATCAAACAGCCTTTTTACACAATGCAGAGGATTAACCCCTTAAGTTCCACAGTGAGAATAACAGCATGCTTTACTGCATATACAGATGGATTTTACTGCTGTGGGTTTAGTAACACTTTAAGACACTTTATAGAAAAAACACTTTATAGAAAAAATTTACATAAACATTATTTTATTCCATAAACTGATTATTAAAAGAAGGGACAATCAGTCCTTTGAAAACATGATACGATTATAAAATAAGCCACCCCATACACCTTCCCATACTAATCTACAATATCAAATACAATCCATATGAATTGAAAAGAAAATGGAATGATGATGATGATGATGATGATGAAGACAGTAAAGGAAGGTGTAATATTCCAACGCATTTCACCACTTGAGCTTCTTCAGGGTCATGAGGTGCAGAACCAAATAAGTCATCTAGAACAGGAGAAAAGCCTTATCAATGTGAGCGAAGGCTTGCAGGGAACAGACATCAAGGTAAGTGCATGCTATAAACAAAACAGGGGAGGGGAGCCCCCCACTAGACCCAAACAATGAGCCTAGAGATGACAAATGGGGGAGGTATAAACCATCCAGCCAATAGCGTAATGATGCCTGTGCTCTAGAATCCAAACAGATTGGGAAATAAAGGCAGCCTAATGGGGCATATTCAGTTAGCTTCAAAACATCTGAGGTGTAGATGGAGATCACCAGCGGCCCTCATGGCACCTGAACGAAAGACAGCCATAATATAAAAGATACATTTATTCACCCCACATTTATGTGATCTTGTTCTTATTTGCAGGTTAAATAGGAACTCAAGCCAAATGATTTTTTGGATAGAGTGGAAAATGGTTAGAATAACATAAAAGCCCCTATTTTCTATAGTAATATTGTCTTTGAATTATGAATGTTAACCTATTTTAGGCCATCTGTTTAATAACAATGAGGCCTGGGACACCAATAAGCTGAGTGGCAAATGGGGCATCATCCTGAGAATTTGCAACTCTGTGACATTATATCCAATTTCAATCATCAAAACAAAAATCTTGTATGTAAGAACTCAACTCTGCAGGCCTCTTGAATTCCATTGCAATGGACAAGGCATTTAAATTGTGTAAACATTTCTTGGAAACTTCAAAGGACATCTACTTAGCCTCAGTAATAGCCATTAACAATGCTGCAGTAACATTACTTAGAAGATCATTGATAACCTGAGATCTGCTCATGATGCTTATCATACAGTACTTCCCATGACTGCAGATTTACCAGGTTTGGTCTTATTCACTTAGTGAGGGCACAAGGCATGATAAAATATTGCTCACTACATTGTGGCTTGTGGTAAAATTGATACATGACTGCATGTAGAAAATTGACTTTGTATTAGGGTCTGATGGAACATTCTAAAATATTTCAGAACTCTTACCTCTTAAGCCTTATGATGGGGTGGGGGAAGGCTCAGTGACACCTAAGAACATGGGTGTCAAACTCAATTACATTGTGGGCCGCATCAGCATTATGATTCCCCTCAAAGGGCTGGTTTTGTATCTGGAAGACTATATAAATGTGTATACTCTTGATCATATTAAAGAATTGTCTCTGCATTTGATTATTACTGGTTTTAGTAACAACTTAAGACTTAAGCTATGATGGGTAGGTGCAGACTGGCACGGAGCCCACTCACACTCCTGTTGCAGAATATGCAAGTCTGAAAAAGGAGGGTGGCACACATGACTGGTATCTTCCACTTTACTAGAGACTGCTCAGACAGCACATGGTTCTGCATTCCTTCTCAAATGGCATATAATTGCATTATTCTAATGCTAATTATAAGCAGATGTTCAGAGCATCCCCCTTACATCAGATGTCAAGAGCCCCCCACCATCTGAAGTCAAGAGTCCCCCACCCTCCCTTACATCACAGTGCACCCCCCTACCTTGTGCTTCTTCCATGAAAAAGCTTGGAGTGGAGTTGGGAAGCAAGAGCTGCAGGGTCTGGAGGAGGACTAAAGGAGGTCTGGAGTCAACTGCTGGAAGCTACAGAACACTGAGACCACGGGAAGTGGAAACAAGGGGGGTGCTGCAGCTACACAGATAGGCACAGGATTTGTAGGAGGAGTTCTGTCCTAATCTCTGCTGCCAACTGCTGAGACAAGGTGCGGGCTTTGTCTGAACTGCTTTTTCAAGTGGGTCCATGTGGATATCAATAAAGGACAGTCTGAAAGAAAACAGCTTCTGCTGTGTTTATTGATGGTGGATAAAAAAATCTTATTTCTCTCTAACACTAATATCACAACTGCATCCTGTCTTAAATAAATGTATTTGCAAAACCTAGATTTTTATATAAATAGAAAAGAAGGTATACAATGTAAAAACTGCTTTAGGTACATTTGATTTATTTATTTAAAAAATTAAATTTTCCAAATCGACATTTTTTTTTTGTGGTGGGAACACCGATAGTACGGGTCCCATCTGAAAACAGCAGAAAGAGTAGAGAGAGAGAGATAGGACCCTTAAAATTTGAGTTGAAATGAAGCCACCAGCTCCAAATGGTGACTGGAAATTTAATTATGGCATATTTAGGTGCTGTATCAGGAAATATTTTTTGCTGTCTGTGTCCCACTGGAAAGATTTCCCTTTACTTCCTGTCAATAGTCAATTGGAAAAATAGAGGGTCGAATCCCAATACAAACAGCAATAAAAACTCAATGTAGGAATTCATTCTCTCACTCAACTCACAAAAAGTTTTGTCTTTACAAACACTTTAATATTACATATTTACCTGACTAAAAGTTATATTTTACATTTTATTTTTATCCCTGAATTTAAAGCATTTGGAAAGGTTCAGATTAAAAAATAAATAAAAAAAAATAAAAAATAACATGTCATACCTACCTGCTACGTATAGTGGTTTTGCACAGAACAGCTCCGATCTTCCTCTTCTTGGGTTCCCTGCCGGGTCTCCTGGCCTCTACCCCCTGCTGAATGCCCCCAGAGCAAGCTGCTTGCAATAGAGGCACTCATGCCTGTTCACTTCCAAGCTGCCTCTGTGTGCCTATGAGAGATCCCTTGTTATAGCAAAAAAGTTGATCAAAACAAATTTAAAGATACAGTGTAAAAAATGGGTTTAAATAAAATAAATAATAAAATAAAAAAATGTAAACACCCCCGTCCTCCCGGGCTCAAGTGTAAATGTGAATGCTTATATAGGTCCCACACGAATATGTAAACGACAATTGCACTACACGTGCAAGGTATCTCCATGAACGTCAGAGTGAGAGCAATAATTCTGGGAACCTGTAAAGGCTTTTAGAGTGTTGCCTATGGATAATTTATTGTACCTAGTTTGTCACCATTCCACGGCAGTATGCAATTTTAAAGCATGACATGTTAGGTATCTATTTATACTACTAACATTAGCTTTTATAGTTTACCAAACATTTGGGTAGTATTATACTGTTTAGTGAGAAAGTAAGCACCTTCTCTTTACATGCAAAAAAAGTGATATATACTGTACTGCCTTAAACGAACAGTGTATCTTCTATGCAATGAAATATAAATAAATACTAAACCATTTAGTGTGCCAACAAAAATAAAAATAATACAAAAAAATGTTAGCTGCCCTTGGAGTGGAAAATCACCTGTGGCCATATAATAAAATAAGGTATGGCGCTAAACATACATATTAGGTGAACAATATTCCAACTGTGATAGAAACATGTAAAAACCTAATCGTGATATATATTAACGAGTCCAAAGTCAAGAACAAAAAAAACAAAAGTCCCACACCAGGTTGTAGATAAAAAACAATGGTGCATAATCTTCTGGCGCCAAAGAAATTGTTCCATGCAGATCCTTTGTGCTCCACCCCCATAAGAAAATATATTGCACTTACCAACCATCAATGACCTCTTAATTAAAAGAAGGTCTAATGAGCTTTGTGTCCCCAAGAATTTGGAACATCAGTGTATATCTTCTCAATGGTCTCCCAATTTACTCCATAGCCAAGGTTAGGAAGAATCAGAAGGAGAAATGTCTCATAATATGGTAGGGTTATAAAAAAAAAAAATGAGCTTCCTGCAGATGCTTGGTAGGCGAAACATGTAGAGGCAGAATCACGTCCAGCCACATCCGGGTCTGGTGATGTCATTTCTGCTTGCAGTTTATGGAACGCACGCAGTTCCTTGTCAAGCGGTGCTAGCATCCTGAGCTGAGTGTATTAGTTCCGGGGATTGGGCACCAACTAATGTGAGTACATATTTGGTTGATTTTATTCATTTTGTGAAACCAAAATGTTGTATAATATTTTATATTCACAACAATCACTTGCTGCATGATTTCCTGGCATTTACAGTTTTTCCTGTTCAAGAAACACAAATTCCACTGCTGATTGACCTTAAGAGCTTTCTCCTGGTTTACGACTGGAATACATACCATAAGCTTGCAGTTCATTAGGGTATGCAGAAGTGATACAAAAAGGAGGCTTGCAGTTTATTATAAAAAAATTTGTCTTATGAGAAAAATGACTGATGTGTGGGCATTGGAAACCTCAGGCAGACCACAGAAAATAAGTGGGCCAGTTAGGACCAGAAAGATACTGTTCCAGTTATTACGTATACCTGTGAGGGCTCTTGAAAAATGTATTGTGCAGTTTAACAACATAGGGGGTGCCAGTCATTTTGTGAATTTTGTTGCAATTTTCCTAAAACTAGTAACAACAGTCCTGACACTGGCATTATATCTGCCACAAATAGAAAAAACACAAGGTTTGTCACAAGAAATTAGTGCCTGGCCTTCTGAAAAGCTGTAGTCAAGCTGACTGGCCCTATACTCTTTGTGCATAATTGTAGTTCACCTGCACTGAGAAAATATGTGAGCTGCCATTGCTGAACATTTCTTTTGAAAGTGTTATTGTCTGGCTGTCATGACTGTGTGCTGGGTCTGCCTTCTAGATATTGTTATCTCTAATTTGTAA